GGCGTTGTTGAGCGCTCCAAATGCAAACTTTGCATGCAACAATCAGGCAGCAATTGACAGCACTCTGATCTAGTGGCATACAGGCATCGTCAGATTGACAGTACTCTAGCCCAATAATGTTGGGGGATCCAGTGGGGGCAACAGTCATATTTCAGGGTGACCGTGCCACTCTTTATCACAACCCTGCTAAAAGTGCCAGTACGTGCGCTCATTGGCGCCCTAGGTGACCGCCTACCTCGCCTATGCCTAGAAACAGCCCTGCATGTATGCTATATGGGGGTTATTTCATGTATGTTATATTTGCAGCAGCAATATTTCTTACATGCTCACAGCAGCACATTGTGGATGTGTTGGCAGTAGCAAGTCTGCAGCAGCAGCAGCGTAGCAGATCTATTCCGCCAAGACCAAATACATTAACATTGTCATGTACATTACCATGCCAATCCCTCCGAGAGTTGTCATGACAGAAATATATATATATATATAGCATATCTCAACTACTTAATTGAACTGTATCGTTGCTATTATGAACATGATTTTCTGTAAAGCTGTTTTGAAGCCATGTGTATTGTGTAAAGAACTATTCAAATAAATGAGTCGACTCTTGCAGTGGAGAACCCTGCTCACTCCGACTTCCTGAAGCTGAGGAACACATGCAAGACCTGAAGGATGTGACACGGGAAACCCATTACGAGAATGACCGCACTCAGTGCATCCAGAATATGACCCACATGGTGGTCAGGGAGAGGAAACACAGGTCAGAGGATGAACTGACAAGATGATCACATCAGACTATATTCTGCAGTGCAAACGAATGGTGTGCTTATTCATGATCATGATGTTTCATCACTGACCTTCCTGTGTGGTTTATGTTACTGTTTGTTTCATCCAGTCTGTGTGGCTAAGAGACAGTGCCTCTGATGCCTGTGGACAGCGAGACTGAGCGCCTTATTTGGGAGAAAGATGAAGAGGTAATACGGGTTTGTTTTTTAATTAGATCCATACAAATGTCTTCATTCTCTTCAGAATGGATACTAACTTACCATTCACACCATACTAACTACTATTTTTTTAAACATTAAGTGAAAGAGTAGGTATTTACCACATGGGCTTCAGAATAGCTAGAATACTACTAGGATATTACTAATGTCTGCCATATTAAAATGAGTATGTTATATATTAAGATTAGTATGTTAGCATATTTCAACAAAGCCAGTGTTCAAGTCTCTCATTTCATTAAAGTTCTCTGATAGCTGTAATTAATATTGTGTTTTTTTGTTTTGTTACTTTCTCCTTCTGCAGTTGCACCGAGTGCAGGAAGTTCTGGAAAGGATTCAGGAACAGATGCGTCATGGACATTAAGACATATGGCTTGAGATGTCAAAGGTTTAAGCTGCCGGATACTGCAGTGAATATTATCTTGTTGTTTGAAGGACTGTGTCCTAAATTAGCTGTCTGAAAAGGTATGAATACATCTACATAAATACTTTAAATATTTTAGATGGAATGTAAATATGACTGTTGTGATACATAAGAAATACGACTAATACAACTGAACCTGTAAATGTCATAAGATTTATTATGAATCGTCAATATGTTTTTTTTTGTAGTAATCTAGCATATTTTAATACGTTTTATTACTATTTTAGTTAAACATGGTGGACAATTCGATCTTAATGCAGCCCAAAATGTACAGGCGATATATAACTTAAACTTTCTCCATAGGGAAAATGCACAGTTTTCATATATTCATATATAATATCAATGTAGAATGAGGTCTAACGGTCCCGCCCACATCATACAGTATGATACATGGTCCCAAAAAATCAAAAAAGGGGAGGGATTAACATTTAAACAAACAAACAAAAACTGCAATCTACATGCAAAACCAGGCATCAGTATAATCCTAAAATACATACACATATATGTGAATGCGTGCATATACCTCACATATATACATACATCCATACACATATATAAAAAAAAAACATTAATAAATTTCACAAAGGTTAGGCTATTTTTTTTGTTTGCTTGCTTTTTAACTGAGTGTGAAGCACAGTATGTATCATTCCATCTTCACATCCCCAAAAAAAGAAAAAGGAAGTCAAATCCAAACCTCAAATTTTTTTTTTTTGCAGCAGAAAGAGGATGTTAAGACCAGGAATCACAGTGTTCCGTTTGAAAGTGACAGTAAAAATGCAACAACGTGGCGTACCTAACCATCGACAGCAAACCATTAAGATTACACAAGGAAACGGTCAGATGGCTAACTTTGTGCAGGTTCAACCAAGCGAGTGCATTGAGAATGGCAGGCCGACTTTATGAGAAGCACTGCTATTGGCAAAGGGGCTTTTTGTCTTGAAAACAGAAAACAGCATGTTTTAACCTCCTAAAATCCTTATTAACAAGCGCCTACTTCACGACAATTTACACAACCACGCGTAGTAATGAAAAATGGCTGTGCGCCGATGAACGTACAATGGACACACAACAGCACCGATTTACACTGGACGCCACCTATGAACGTGCGCGCGGCGTGACGTTAACGTATTTTCGAAGACTTCTATCGACGTTCTTCATTGTGTTGCTACAAGCACGAGAACATTGGTAACTGCTGATCTGAAGAAACGGAAATGCCCGACTATCACACGCTGTAAGTAACGTTTTTAATCATTTGAAACGTTATTCAAGTATTACTAAGTATTATTAAGTTAAACATCTGAGCACTTGTTATTAATGCTTTAATGTACTTTCAAATACATGTCTTTCTCAGATGTTGAATTGTATATTGGTTGAGTTTCCTTACAACCCATTCGCCTCGACACTTTTTTTTAAGACTTTGATTGCCAACAGATGTCTGTGACTGTAGGTCAGGTCAACATTGCTTCATATTCAACAATGTTGTTGTTGTTGCACCGCGTAGGCAGCAGGTGGCGCCACTGGGCTTGAATTGGGGCTTAGGCACTTACATTTGCTCGCAAGTACAAAGACACTTTGAGAAACCTGATCTGAGTCTGATTGTACCTGTTGTTTGTTTGTTTTTTAGTCAAAAGCCCCGTATGAAGAGTTTTAAAATCCCCCAAAATATAGTTACACAGTAAACGTTTTTCTGCATGCTTTCAGTACTGACCTTTAAGCACTCGTTTTTGAATAAAGTGGAGATTTTTTTTTAGTGAATGAATGTAAAGCGTGAGATAAATTGCATACAGAAAAAAGGACACGAGGGAAAGAGAAGAATGAATTGATTTGTTTCAGCACTCCACTCTCACATTACTAAAAGACTGACCAATGTCTTCGAATTTGCAAGTGCATTACATGAAATTCATTCCAACGCTGCATGGCAAAAGACACGCAAGCCCCTTCTACAAGCAAAAGAGGACACGTTCCGATCCTGACGAGGTCCTGGCGTGTAGGAGTGACAGTAGTGATTTTCTGAACAGGATCTAGTAGTCCTTTCCGCGATTAGCTCTTCGTCTTTAGTCTCTCTTGCTCTCGCTTTGCGAGACCTCCATTCATGGAAGTCGTTCTGTGCAGCCTCTCTTTTCTTCAGGCCAGCTTTAGCGTGCTGATGGGAAAAGGAGGAACAGTTACCATAGTCACCGGATTGAGCACCGTCTGGCCCACCAGCCCGGTGTGATGGTGAGCGACCACGGCTGTTGGCTTTCCCACAATGGTGGCCTGCTGGCCTGTGACCGGCGTGCCGTTAACTTGGGCGTGAGTGTGCGGGTGGTGCGCCAACGTGTGCGTGATGTGACCCACCATCGCCGCCTGCGAGACAGCCACCGACTGCGGGTAAATGGCGGCGGGGAGGTGGGCCACGGGATGCACGGTGATGTGTCCGATAGGCTGGCCGCCACTAGAGGGCGCAATGTGCGCCAGATGTTTATGCCCAGCTGGGATGACGTGGTTGACCGCTTGGATAACGGACGCATGGGATACGGAGGCGTGGGTGATGACAGTTGGCTGAGGAGGGGAAATGATGTGGGAAGGGGGCGCAGGGGCGATGGCTTGAGGGGTGACCACTGTGGGCTGGGGTTGATTGGGTGGAGCAGAGGTTGGTGTGGTGGGTTTGTGTTGTATGGAGATATGTGTAGGGAGAATGGAGGGTGGAGGCATGGCAGCGCGGGGCTCTGACGGCGCCGGTGCAGACGGTTTGGCCGCACAAGACGAGGGCGGGGAGGAGAGGATGTCATCATCTACATCTTGGTCGAAGTTGTCTTCACCCTCTGAAAAGAGCGGAAATGATTCATGGTAATTCGATTTTACCTTGTGTCTTAGCCCTGATACACATTACAATTAATCATATCAGGGGGAAAATGTATGTTTGATGTAATATGAAATAAATGTAAATTTGGGAAGGAAAATGGCCTGTTTAATTGTACACACCGTGAAAAACGAAGAAAAACGGATTCTGGTGCAAAAAACCTCAACATAGGGGAAAAATAAATAATAAAAAAAAGGTAAATAAATAAAATAATAATAATATCAGATCTATTTCTGGTGTAAAAAAAAAAACTAACAACTTTAAAAAAAAATAAAGTGATTAAAATAAACATTCTATTTTTTATCAAATACATTTTAAAAAAATTATAATGATTAAAATAATGGTTTTCTTTTTAGTATATTTTTAAATACAACTTATTTCTGTCATGAAAAACCTATATTTTCAGCAGCAATTACTGTCTTCCATGTCACATGATCATTCAGAAATAATTATATGCTGATTTGCTGCATAAGAAACATTTCTTATTATAAATAGTTGAATAGCTGTGCTGCTTAATATTTTTGTGGAAACTGTGATTTTAAGTGATATATATATATATATGTGTGTGTGTGTGTGTGTGTTGTACCTGATGCTGTTGATGTGGAGGCCTGATCATCTTCCGGTTGGACAGTTTGTCGGAGTAGTCTGTCGATCTCCAGGAGGCACGGTGATGTGTCCGATAGGCTGGCCGCCACTAGAGGGCGCAATGTGCGCCAGATGTTTATGCCCAGCTGGGATGACGTGGTTGACCGCTTGGATGACGGACGCATGGGATACGGAGGCGTGGGTGATGACTGTTGGCTGAGGAGGGGAAATGATGTGGGAAGGGGGCGCAGGGGCGATGGCTTGAGGGGTGACCACTGTGGGCTGGGGTTGATTGGGTGGAGCAGAGGTTGGTGTGGTGGGTTTGTGTTGTATGGAGATATGTGTAGGGAGAATGGAGGGTGGAGGCATGGCAGCGCGGGGCTCTGACGGCGCCGGTGCAGACGGTTTGGCCGCACAAGACGAGGGCGGGGAGGAGAGGATGTCATCATCTACATCTTGGTCGAAGTTGTCTTCACCCTCTGAAAAGAGCGGAAATGATTCATGGTAATTCGATTTTACCTTGTGTCTTAGCCCTGATACACATTACAATTAATCATATCAGGGGGAAAATGTATGTTTGATGTAATATGAAATAAATGTAAATTTGGGAAGGAAAATGGCCTGTTTAATTGTACACACCGTGAAAAACGAAGAAAAACGGATTCTGGTGCAAAAAACCTCAACATAGGGGAAAAATAAATAATAAAAAAAAGGTAAATAAATAAAATAATAATAATATCAGATCTATTTCTGGTGTAAAAAAAAAAACTAACAACTTTAAAAAAAAAATAAAGTGATTAAAATAAACATTCTATTTTTTATCAAATACATTTTTAAAAAATTATAATGATTAAAATAATGGTTTTCTTTTTAGTATATTTTTAAATACAACTTATTTCTGTCATGAAAAACCTATATTTTCAGCAGCAATTACTGTCTTCCATGTCACATGATCATTCAGAAATAATTATATGCTGATTTGCTGCATAAGAAACATTTCTTATTATAAATAGTTGAATAGCTGTGCTGCTTAATATTTTTGTGGAAACTGTGATTTTAAGTGATATATATATATATATGTGTGTGTGTGTGTGTGTGTTGTACCTGATGCTGTTGATGTGGAGGCCTGATCATCTTCCGGTTGGACAGTTTGTCGGAGTAGTCTGTCGATCTCCATGATGTCTATACACTGGCTCAACTCATTCTTCAGCTCTGCGAGTCTTTGCTGAGTGGCGATCTTCTCCCGTGCCAAGCGCTCCATCTCGTGCTCGTACTCCTTTTAAATAGTGGAATAGCTGTGCTGCTTAATATTTTTGTGGAAACTGTGATTTTAAGTGATATATATATATATATGTGTGTGTGTGTGTGTGTGTTGTACCTGATGCTGTTGATGTGGAGGCCTGATCATCTTCCGGTTGGACAGTTTGTCGGAGTAGTCTGTCGATCTCCATGATGTCTATACACTGGCTCAACTCATTCTTCAGCTCTGCGAGTCTTTGCTGAGTGGCGATCTTCTCCCGTGCCAAGCGCTCCATCTCGTGCTCGTACTCCTTTTCTTTCCGTTTCAAAGTCTGCAAGAAACACGATACATAACTCTTTGTATCCTCTGCATTTTAATATGCACATGAAGCATTCACTGCGCAAACACTCGATCACACACGTTCTGGTTTCAGTATGACACGTTTCTCAATCAGCCAACAAATGCGTTTCAACAATTAACTGATGTCTAAGCTTAAGAATACACAATGGCTGTAAAGTCTCTACTTCCTGTTTATATATAATAACGAATTACTAGTAGATATAAGAACATGAGGTCATCATAACCATATTCCAAAACCTGTAGAGGAGACTCAACTCACAATTAATTAACATAGTTGATGTTGCTAAGCTAAATGATCATTCAAAACATTGTACACAAAAATTAAAAAATAAAGTAATCTACACATCACATGACACGAAGCCTCTATTCATCAGCCAAATAAAAGCTCTTTGATTTGAAATGTAGTGGGTGACCACACGAGGAGGGCCATTTTGAGATCACATGACAAGCCAAATAGGCCTACTATTTGTTTTATCTCAGTATTTCAACTACTATCATTTTGACTGCTGGATTTATTAAATCTCGGCTCAGGGCCAACAGTGCATTTGTATGGTGGGATCAACAACTTAAAAGATTTGCTTTTGTGTGATACTACATTCGTGAAACTAGTCCTGCGTTCCAATTCACAGGCTCCCTACACAGTGTTCACTGCACCCTACTCCATGAGCATAGGATATCAGTTGAAATTCACTTGACAAAAAGTGTTCATTTAATTGCCCTGCATTTGAGAGGAGTTCGAGGTACGATACTTCGGTAAATAAATATACATGACCACAGGTTTGTGTACATATCCATATAATACATCTATATGTATTTATATAAATATGCATTTATTAATTTAATGTCATATTTTAAAGCGCTAAGCGCGATGTTTAACACTAAAAACATTATATGCCAGAGCCTTGACTCCTTTCCACTGCCTTTATTGCTTCAAGTGCTGGACTGCTGTGCAGTGACTGGTGGGTAAATTTTCCTCTCCACTTCCTGTGAAGTGATGAATCCATGTTCCCCCATTCCCTTATTTCCTATGTTGTTTGCAGTGCCCTTTGAACTGAACATGTTCACTCCCCTCAGACTGGAATGTGAAGTCCACCCTGTGAAGTCCACTTTACAAGACACTTACAGCAGAATGGAACACACCTTAGGAGTCAAAATAACGCAAACATACAGAAATAACTGAGTGCACCTTTTTAAAAGAGAGCAACAGTTTAATGTCATAAGGGAAGAGAAGAAGGGAGGGATGAAAAGAAGGAATGTGGCAGTCACACAGGCAAATGGTTTGACCCACTTTTTGTGTTAGTCGGCTGACCACGGGACATCAAACCAGGCTAATGGAAACAAACTGTTTAGACATTTAAACTCTTGAAGAGGAGCAGGTATGACAGAATGTTTAACATATGTGCTCATACAATTTTAGGAAACAAACTGTCCACGGAGCAAAGCAGTTTACACACCCCACCCCGTCTGTCGTGACGCCTCTGACACACTCACATCAGCCAGTTTCCTCCTCAGTCCCTCCCTCACCTATGCTCTTGCCAAAGAAACTGTGACAACACGGAGTCCCGTAGAGTCAGAGGACTGCAGTATACATGATAACAGCACGTTTCTGAGAGCTGAAGAATAGAAAGCAGCGAGACAGTGAGCATGCACGAAGATAGAGTGATGTGCAGAGATGGGTGTCTGGGATTATATAACACACTGATACAGTATTAAGGGAATATGAATGCGACTGGTGCAGTAGGTTGAGAGCACAGGCAGAGAGAGAGAGAGTCCGTCCTAGTGAAGCCTGATCCAGGATTAGTCAGATTGGACTTTCTGGCCCTAAAGCCCCTTCACACAGCAGGTCAACACCAATAAACACACACAGAGCAATACATACAAGCCAACACCTTCTGTTTTCTACACAGACGGTATACAACCAGCACTATTAAAATGTATTCTATTAAATCATTAAACATTTTGCAAAAACAGTGTTTTTGAACCTTTAAAGGGATACTCCACCCCAAAATGAACATTTTGTCATTAATCACTTACCCCCATGTCGTTCCAAACCCCTAAAAGCTTCGTTCGCCTTCAGAACACAATTTAAGATATTCTGGAGGAAAACCGGGAGGCTTGTGACTGTCCCATTGACTGCCAAGTAACTTACACTGTCAAGATCCAGAAAAGTATGAAAGATTCATCAGAATAGTCCATCTGCCATCAGTGGTTCAACCGTAACGTTATGAAGCGACGAGAATACTTTTTGTATGCGAAGAAAACTAAAATAATGACTTTATTCGTCTCCTCTGTGTCTCTGCATCACCGTAGCACCATTTTGGAGAATGTCCGCTGAACGCAAGCAGCGTATGCTCTTCTGTGTCAGCCGCGACACAAGGATACGTTTTCTACGTGTATTTACGCTTTGATTTGAACGAAAACAGCGCATCCGTGCAGCGCCAAAATGGTGCTACAGTGATGCAGAGAGACGAATTGTTGAATAAAGTCGTTATTTTTGTTTTCTTCGTGTACAAAAAGTATTCTCGTCGCTTCATAACGTTACGGTTGAACCACTGATGGCAGATGGACTATTCTGATGATGTCTTTCATACTTTTCTGGCTCTTGACAGTGTAAGTTACTTGGCAGTCAATGGGACAGTCACAAGCCTCCCGGTTTTCATCCAGAATATCTTAAATTGTGTTCCGAAGACAAACGAAGCTTTTACGGGTTTGGAACGACATGGGGGTAAGTGATTAATGACAAAATTTTCATTTTGGGGTGGAGTATCCCTTTAATTGATTATATTAGGCTGCAGCTGAAAGTTATTTTAACATTGAAATAAAATTACACAAACACTCGCTATGCACTAAATGTAGGGATGCACAGATATTAAAATTCTGTCTGATATTGAGAAGCCATATAAACACATACACAACACAAAAGTTTGGGTTTATACCATTTTTTTAAAGGTTTTTGGAAATAATTATTTTATGTTGTTCACCAAGGCTGCATTTATTTGTTAAAAAAAAATTCAAACAGTAATATTGTGAAATGTATTATTTATACATTTTATTATTATTTATTACTTTTTACTATTTATTACAATTAAAATATTTCTATTATATATTAAAATAAATTCAAACTGATTTTTTCCAGATTTTTTGATGAATAGAAAAGTTCAAAAGAACAGCATTTACTACATTTACTTTAAAGGTGACATATGACAATCTGACCCCCCCCCCCCCCCCTTTTTTCAGCCTTCTCACG